TTTCCATATATATTCACAGAAATGGTTTGGTTGAAATGTAATATATATTCTTTATTATATAAATGTATCAAAAATATGCATTCATCTCCTCTTTAGGATGTCGTACGCTCCAACTGTTTGATTTACAGCCGATTTTTTCTACATATGTCAAGAAAAACAAAATGTAAATTTCTGGTCACCCTGAACGAAATAGATATTCTAATTGGCAATACTATGAAAACAAAGAGAGAGAGAGAGAGAAACAAACTTGATTAGAGAAATCATTTGGCAAAAAAAGAAAGAGAGAAGATTAGAGAGAAGATTCTTAATGCAGATAAGAGTAAACACAGAGCACAGGTATAAAATTTAATATAGATACAAACGTTCGCAAGTGCATCAACCAAAAAAAAAAAAATTCTTTTTTTTCATCTTTTATCAGCAACACAATTTGAGCTTTCTGTTCAGTTGAGTGGCAAACGCGCATCTGTGTATACGGCATTGCGGCAGACGGGTTATAAATAAATAAAAATAAAAAGTAAATTTTTTACATTAAATTTTGTATAAAAAGTGCGAGGGTGAGAGTTAAAAAATAAAACAATTGCTACCTGTATATTATAGACTTTGCGGATAGTGAAACTATATAGAGTCTATTAATTTTCTTTGCTCTATTGAAATTTGCTTTTGAAAAAAAGCCGAAAAAAATTTTTTTTTTAAAACGTGTACAAAAATAAATAATATAACGATACAATCATATTTATAATTTTTCACGTAAGAGCGTTTTATTAGGAACGTACAAATATATATATATATATACATATATATATATATAGATTTGTTTAATAAAGTGCTATAAAATTTTAATAAGTAGCTGCAAACGAAGGTATGTTTTGATTATCTTTTTTCTTTTTTTGTTTATTTTATTTAGAATTTGTCTTTATCATGGATTTCTAGGCTTTATTAAAGTAGCAAAAGCGAACAGTTTGGCTTTTCCGGTGGTGGCCACGCCTTTTATGGTGTATCTATCCGATATGGTAATGGGGTAAATGTTTTTCGCCATATATACAGAAAACGTACATATGTACTGTTATATATATGGTTCATAGGCAACATGTATTATTGTATTGTCTTCTTATGGTCGATGATTAAAAATTGAACGAACAATCAGGTACCAATATTATTTGAGGCGTTATTTTGCGGAAAAAATATGGCTCTTACCTAACTAGTCTTAATGTCAACTAGTCTTTAATGTCAACAACATTGACTTTACAAAAACAACGACAACAATATTTGCTCCTTTTTTCACATATTCTTAAAATGCGTAGATAATGTCACATGTGTGGAAAAACTCCTAACTATGTTGTATGTTTTTATTACCAGCTTTTATGCAGGCGCTTTTTTATCTATACAATGCTATTTGTAGTAGTCATTTAGTTTTCCTCTTATCAAGTCTTTCAGTCATTTTTCATAGAAAATATTTGTGCGTTGATGTGAATGTACGCATAACTGCGTATTGATTTTTCATAATGTTTCCGTAAGCTCTCTTGAAAAACATGCGGTTTTTCATTCATTTCTTTTTGGTGCTCTCTGCAAATCTATATTATAGTTTACTTTTTTAAATATTATTTGAAACATTTAAAAATAAAAAAAACAAAATAACCAAAAAAAAAAAAAAATTGCACTTGTTACAGCAGCAATATCATCTTTTATTATTAGATAAGAGGAAGAAAGTTAATCAGATTGAAGTCAACAGCCTGTAATGTTAGCGTTTTTTTTTTTTTTTTCTTCCGCTTAAGTTTCTTTGGTGACGCGGTGTCTGGATATTGCCATATAAGCAAGCGGTTGTTTTTACCTAATAGTTTTTAGTTTCTTGATCGCGTAACGCCGGTTTTTATTTACATATAAAGAAATTAAAAAAAAAAAAAATTTCATTTTTTTTATTTCAAGTTTGCACACCTTGTCAACCATCAAGTTCAGCCAATAATAGCGTCACCACGACAGGTTAAGCAAAGAAAAAGAAAACTTTTTGAATGCATTATTATGGGGCGTATGAAAAACTTTCAACATATTTTTAAGAAATATTATTTAAAAATTGTAGAATAGCAAAATGCTTGAAAATAAAAAAAAAAATTTAATAAACTTTCGGAGAAATTTTATCATATTTTCAACAAAAGTTGCCAAAACATAATTTAAAAAAAAAAAATAAATAAATTGAGAATTTAAAAAAAGGTTCTCTTAGACTCTATACAAAAAAAAAAACTTTTTTACACAAAAAATTTTAGCAATTTTTTAAAAAGATTTTAAAAAGTTTTGAAAAAACAAATTTTTAATTGAAAAAAAAAAAGGTAATGACAAATATATATTCGGTCGCGGCTCAGTCCTTTACAGCCATCAACCATTGTTATTCTAAAGAAGACTCAATGCAAGGAAAAGACAAAGTTTTCATACCGCATAATATTGGGTGGGCGTTGATGTTTTTTTTTTTTTTTTGTAAAATGAAAATGGAAATTTATATTATGTGTTAGGGATACGGTTGTCATAGCAATTAACAGACAAATGGATAGACGGATTGAAGGTGGAGGCGTCTACTTTTCATACTGATTAATAATGTGCAGACCTTATAGGGCATTTGAAGCTTCTTTTTGGGTGCTGCAAATGTTTTGATAAAACAATGAAATTCTAATAATCTATAATATAGAGTAGTCATGGCCGATTTTTTGCATTTTTGTACAGGTGCTAGTGGGCCGCCCATAAATTACAAATAAATACAAATTTTTATTTTCGTATTTGCGGTTATTTATAAGTAAGTAGCAAAAAGTCAAATTTTTTTATTATTTTTGGAACATAGTTGATCTCAGGCTATATTGTAGTGTGGGTGTAATTCTTGAATGGTTCGGCCAATTTCAGTGGCAATCTGCGTGCAAGAACTTTCAAAGGGTTTGCACAATTGGAAGGCGGCAGCCTCAGTCTTGTGGCCACAGACAAAGCACAGAAACGCGGACAGACGGACGCGCAGAGCAGAAGAGGACTCTATATGTGATCTGAAACTGCCGTGTGGCTATTACAATCAGTTCGGAATAATATATACCCTTCACCTTTTGGTGATCAGTATAAAAACAGTTTCTAAAATTTATTTGAAAAAATTTTTCCAATAAGAAATTTAAACAATTTTTTAAAAAAAATTTTTTTAAATTTTTATGCGAATTATTTTTATTAAAAAAATGGAAAAAATAACATTCTCTACGCATGAAACGAAAAAACTTACAAAATGTGCAAGTTATTAGCCAGTATCGCTATAGAAAACAAAATTATATTCATTTTTAAATACCTATCGCCCATAAATCGTTTGCATAGCTCTGGTCGGCTAACCATAAGTGATTTACTGTTGGCTGAAGTAAATGAGACATAAAAGAAATTATACTCAATTTTTCAATACCCATTATTATTTCTTTTTATGCCCCGCACTACTTAATATATTAAGAATAAGAATAATATATTAATAACATATTAAGACTATATTAAGTTTGTACGGATGTATGCAACACTCAGAAGGATTTGAGATAAGCTGAATTCAACCTGCAGGTTTCTAGATATTTTGATGAAGTTTGACCGTATTTTGGTTCAAGGAGTAAAGCTATCGAAATCACTTTTTCGACTACTTCACATATAACGCCTTATTTAGAGTTACATAAATAACTGTAGGGCGATATAGACTATTTAACGGTGAGCCTTGGGTCATATGTTTTTAGGGATCAAACACAAAACTGGTTACCACTTCTTGTTAGAGCGTAGAAGGGGATTTACCATTCACTAGTGACATTAATACGTGTGAAGACGTAGTCAGAAAGACGTGACAGAGAGAGAGATGGAAAGTGGTCGCTCGCGATCAGAAGGAAGTGTGAAGAGAGAACGCGATGGGAAGAGGTCGCGGACTGCGAGATGTGTACCCGATTGGTAAGTGTTATAGCTTTACCGACCGAGGACTCACTATTGCTACGCTTACAAATCGATCGCAATTAAATAATGGTGTAGCGCACTAACGATTGTACCCGTGTGTATGTAGCGCATTGATAATTGCGTACGCGCGCATGCTGACTTAATTGCTGTGCTCTCGCGCGTAATGCGTCATTTTTAATAATCCTAAATTGTCGACTGTAGACTTGGAGGGCCTTCAAACACAAGTAGGCGCAATGACATGCACTTATTATGGTTGCTTCGCTATTCGGGGATTGAGCGCAACGAAAGGGCTGACTATTTAGCGCACAGGGAGTTCGGGGGAGCATCTTGAGTCCCCAACTTTTTTTTGACCTACCAAGAAGCCATGTTAACAGGGTGGTATCGCAATGGGTACAGAAAAAATCGGATTGAGGCCCAAAGCAATGTACAAGAAAACAACAGGGAAAAAGATTCATAAAATCGTACGGCGTGGCGCACAAACTGCTGGAACTAAGAAGAAGCGATCTATGTTTAGTCACGGCCTTCTTCATGGGTCATAATTCCCTCATTTACCATCTGAAAAAAAACTGTGTGTCTCTGATATCGATTCATTTAGGTTTTGCAAAGGAGCGAGGGAGACGTCCCATCATACTCTTTGTGGATATGGTGTTCCGATTCAAGAAAGTTGGGGTGATTTGTAAAAATCCTAAAACTAGAGTGCTTGGGGCGTAGGCGAGTACAATATATTTTTTAGGTCGCGGTACGGTTTATTTGTTTAGTTATTTATTTATTCCACTTATACAAGAAACTCAACTAAAACGAATTGGCAGTCGAGTTCAATTGACTCTTAAAGTAAATCTTAAATTAATTAATATTAAGACTTAGTGTAAGTACAATAAAGCAAATAAGAAGTAAAAAAAAAGAAAAAAAGCATGTACACAACTAGCACAGAGCCACACCCATAACCGGTACAGGACCAAATTGCAAGTGAACCCCTAAGCCATCCCAAACATGCATAAGCTTGGCAACCGATAAAAGTTAACAACAATTAATTTTTAACTCATAGTGACTTTTTAAGGTTAAAAGTTAGTTCGCGTACGACATAGGTAAATCGCGCGTATTAAGCAATGTTGCTTTAATGGACTTTAAAGAGTCCGTTAATGAGAATATGTGATAGACGTCATTTAGGTTCTTGCAAACAACTCTGAGCGGGTTAAACAGTTCGTAATTACATTGACTAAGCTTTATCAAGATAAAGTGCCTAGAGAAGCGGTTAGGGACATTAAAGCCTATCCCACGAAGTAATGCGGGCAAGTCAATTGTACCATTTATTAATTTGATTACGAAGGAAACCCCAAGAACAAATCTACGTTTCTCCAGTGACGGTAAGGAGAAGCAACAGAAGCAACTAATTTTCATAGGGAGGAAGAGGGACATTCGTGTCCCAACCCAAATTCCTAAGGGCAAACAGCAGGAATTGCTTTTGAACCGATTCAATTAAATCTACGTAGCGCCCATATGAAGGAGGCCACACAGCAGAGGCATACTCAAGTATAGGTCTAACCAAACACAGGTACAGCCTTTTTGTAATGTAAGGATCACCAAGCTCTTCGGACCACCTCTTTATAAAACCAAGCGTGGACCTAGCTTTGCTTAACGAGAGCTCAATATGTAAATTGAAAGGTAACCTATAATCAAATAGAACGCCTATATCTGTGAACGAATCGACGTCTTCCAACTTATGCGAATCAATGAAATACAGAGTAATGAACGACTTCCTTCTTGAGAAAGAGAGCTTCTTACATTTATTTAGATTTAGTTTCAGAAGATTCAAAGGGCACCATGCAACCAAATTATTCAAGATTATTATTCTTTGAAGATGATGTGATTGCGATTCTACGGAAAAGGAAGAAAACGATTTCACATCATCAGCTTACATTAAGATCTCGGTGAATTTAATCATGGAGGGCAAATCATTGATGTATAAATTAAAAATTAAAATGTGTCCTAAGTGGCTACCTTGAGGTACGCCAGACATCATGGGGAATTCATCCGAGATAATGAGTTTAAACAAAACCCTGAATGATCTACCATGCAGATAAGAGCTTAACCATTCCACTAAGAAGAACGGTAAGCCAGAGGCTTGGAGTTTGCCCGGGCAGTTAATAATGATAATAATAAATTTTCTCCAGTGAAACTTTTGTCTAAATCTTAGGCGACTTTTGGCACACCCTTTATAAAGAGAAAACCAAATTTTGAAACAAAATAAAGAGTACAAAATTTGGAAACGTATACCGTTTTCTCTTACATTTTGAACGGGCCGACATAAAATTGGTAATGCTTTTCGATGAAAATTGTGTATTTTTGCATTTTTAAGATCTTATTAATCTAATTTTAAATTATTTGATTTCCCATTTTCTAAAGTTATATTCTAACGTAGCACAGCAATGTTGCACTCTGTTCTTTCTTTTACTATCTTTTCTAGTTGATTGTTTCCAGTCTGCTAGAACATCACAATAGTAATAAATATTAATAATGATAACCATTCTTTTTATCGCAAATAGACTTTTTAGTACAATGAGGTGTGGTCCTAGACCGGTTGTGCTTTGCGGGCCGTCTGGATCGGGTAAAACTACTCTATTAAATAGATTATTTAAAGAGTTTCCGAATACATTTGGCTTTAGTGTATCACATACGACTCGCAAACCTCGACCAGCCGAACAAGATGGCGTTCATTATTATTTCGTAGAGAAAGAAGTAATGAAAAAAATGATTGCCAATGGAGAATTCATCGAATCGGCTACATTTAGTGGCAACATGTACGGCACTAGCAAGGAAGCTGTAAGGAAAATACAAGCCCTCGGTAAAGTGTGCATTTTAGATATTGAGCCGCAGGGTGTTGAACAAATCAAGAAAACTGATTTAAATCCTATTTTAATATATAATAATCCACCGTCAATAGAAGCTTTGGAGCAACGATTACGCAAACGCAATACCGAAAGTGAAGAAACTTTAAACAAACGTCTCGCTGCTGCTCGCGAGGAAATTGCTTACGGTCTTACTCCAGGCAATTTTCATAAAATAATCAATAACATCGATATCGATGAAGCCTATGAAGATTTTCGTTCTTACTTGTTAGCCGAATTAAAGGCGCAAGAACTTGAAGGTGTTACTATTTGTTGGTAGATCGGTTTAACGCCCTAAACTTGACTGTGCGTTTAAATGTGTGTTTAAATTATATTGCTATGGAAAGGTATTACAGCGAAAGTAAAGTTTATGCATTTTATATAATGATTTTTATTTTAATTTACGGTAACTGATAAATTATTTGAAATAAAGTAAATTTTTTTATTTTTCTTTCATAACATTTCCGCTTAAGAAGGAATAATTTTCACTTAACCAATATTCAAAAAAAAAAAAAAAAACAATTTATCAGAAAAGAAAGGCATACAAGACAAGATTCTCGGATAAGAAACGATTGGGATAGAAAATTTTGATAAGATTATATGTAAACATACATACAGCGACATACATTAAGCAATTGATTGGGTTGGTTGCAATCGTTTCATATAGATAAACACGCTTCAGTGCGGCCACAAGTTATCATCAATCAATCTTAAGATAGCTCGGAGTATATGCCGAGCTACATTATCGAAATTATCATTTTAAATGGTGGCAATTACCTTAAGTGGAATAATAATAAATTGAAATCGTAAATAAAAAAAAAAAAAGATTCAACGATTATCAAAGTAGGGCAACGATTTCATTTGCACTGAAGTTTGGTTCAATTGCGTGTATTCTGCTAAAGCATAATGCAAATGACATAGGTCACTCTTGCAAGAGATCATCATCATCATCATCATCATCACCATTGAACTCCTTTCAAATGCTTCCTTCTACTTTTATTCTGTTTATCTGTTTATGTATATCGTTCGCAGAAACCGTAAGATATGGAAAATACATTATTTGTATTGTACTTTATTTTTCAATAGTTGAAATAATATTGTGTTGGAACGATAAAAAAAGAGCTTAGGTTATGAAGAGTACATAAATTTCGGTGGACACGTCAAAGACCTCATAAAGTGTATATATTCTTGATTATTATCGAATTCTAAATTGATTTGCTCATGTTCATCTGTCCGTCCGTCCGCGTATCTGCCTGTCTATGTAACATCTCTGCTGAACATTCTCCTGGTCGTAAAATTGCTACATTCATCTTCAAATTTAGCACAAAGGTTGTAAGCTTTTCCAGACAGATTGCTATTAAGATAGAGCCATGTTCGCCAAAGCGTATGGCCATAGTACAACATAACGTGAAAATGTCTCTCGTTTTCAAAAATTAAAAAAAATTGTTTTTTCTGCTGTTCACTTATAAATCACAGCAGACACTGTATAGTCTGTATAGAAACGGCGACGCCTGCTTATAATATTACAAAATACTAAGTTTTCGTTATTTTAGCAAAACGTTTCTAGCATCTAGAACGAAGTTTCAGGGATCATACAAAGTCTACGCATTATTGATCAATATCAAATCTGAATCGTTCGAGAAAGGTTTGCCAGTCCCTTTGCCCATCTCTTTGTTAATTGCTGTGGTGAAGGTAGTCATGATCGCAAAAATTTGACATATGATTGATTACACGTAGATGGATATTGCTAATGGGCTAAAAGGATTCGCCCTTATATTGCACTGTAGGCAAGTTGAGAATATCTCGGAATATTCGAGGGTTTTTCCCCATAAACTTCAACGAATGCATGATACAAAATTCCCCTCTTATTCTACAAAAATAGAAAATCAACATTGCCTACAGTGCAATATAGGGTTGAGAAGATCTCGGTTTTCTTGGCTTTTTTGCTCAGAAACCGAAACAATCACAAGCTATAAAATTCCACCTTTGTTTTACAAAAATAGAGAAAGCCAACCATGTCCATGCAATATTACAGAACACGTTGAAGAGATTCTATGGCGGCCGAATAGAATTTTCTTACTTGTTTAACTTTACACATCGTTGGCATTCCTTTAGATCGATCTGTTGAATATGTTTAAGTTACGGCGATTTTATATGATGAGAACACGGTTACGACTTTGAAACTTTATATGTACTTTTGAGAGAACGGACGATTGCGAAGCTCAAATCTTTGGTCTCATATTAACCCTATCATTCCGGTCAAATTATATTCGAAAATTAAAATTCATGAAATCGTGATGTGATTGCTCCTCATTTAATTTAGCGAAAAAAATTTTTAAGCTTTACCCTTTGAGCATTAGATTTTGTCTTGAACTATTTTTAATGCAATCTCCTCAAAGTTCAGAGATAAGCAAAATATTTTCAAGGGTCACACTTGACTATTACTAGGAAATATAGTTCGACGCTTGTTTAAGCTCATATATTTTCTAATGAAAATTTCTAGTTGAAAATATTGCAATGCTTCATTTAAAAAACATAGCTTAGTAAGGATGATGCACAGATATAGCATGACTGTTAACTATTTATATTACCCACAAGATCCCATGACCAACCTTCAAAGGAAATATGTCGAATTTCTATAACATTCTTACCCTTAGTTGCAACTGTTTTAATGACCTTAGGACTCCAAACGGAATTCAGATTTTCTCATAGTTTTGAAATTGCAAGAGAGACGTCACTACTTTTGAGGTTTTTTCAAATGTTTGCTTATTCGAACCATTTAGTTTGAATCTTGGTGGTACGTAAATATCGTGAATTTATCAATAGTAGCGACATTCATATGTCATCCTACGAACTTATTGAGCGGTATATTAAAGTATTAAGCAAATTTTACTTATGTCGTTTAGTATTTCATAGCTAGTTAAATCAATATTCAGAAAACTGATATATCTCCCCCAAGCTAATTAAGGACATGGAGAGGTGGAGAATTTGTTAACTCTATAAGTAGTTACGAAATAATTACGTAATAGGGTACTTACTTACCTTTACGTAGCATGCGAAGCGTTTACAATGTCGTCGTTGATTTTCGTTGCAAAATACTTTCCATTGCTTTTAAAATGTAGAAAATAGAAATAAAAAGTGGCTATCAATAGATTCGTTTAAAATCGCATGTAATTGTTAATTCGATATTTGTTTTAGTTAAGTTGACCTAAACATGTACAAGTTTGATCTTTTGAAATTTTAATTTAATTTCCCAATATAGGCAATGCCATAACATTCGAGCATGTTTTAATCGTTGTGACATTTTCGTTCGCTTGTTAAAGATGCAACAAACATTAGTCTTAAAGGTTAAATAGGAAATTCGCTGTTACTCTAATCGTTTAAATGTATGTTTACAGGCTTCTGGTTTCTATTTTGATTTCTCAAAATTCAAAGCGAAATATCTCAGGCTTAAAAGGGATAATATGTTTGAAGCGTATAGACCTTTCTACAGTGATTCGTATAACGTTTTTTTTATAATAAGGCTTTGTATGAGAAGTGCTCGAAAAAGTGATCCGATCCGAATCATTTTCATTTCATTTTCAATAGCTCAAGGCACGTCAGTGTACCATATTTAATCAAAATATCTGAAAAATTGCGGCCTTTTGGGTCAAGACAAGAAAACAACATGGACAAATGGACAGACAAGCTTAAAACGATCCAGGGACTGATTCCGAACAATAAACGGTGGATCAACATCAAATGCTTTCCGATGTTGCATACATCCGCACGAACTTAATGTAATGTGTGAACTTAATGTAATGTAATGTTAATACACAAGTGGTGTATCGCGTGTGCAGCATATTATAGTAAAAATTGCCCATACTGCTTGTTCAAAAATTTACTCAAGGAGTAGTTTGGAAGGAGAATATAGATCATAGGTACCTTCGTAGTTTATTTTGTACTCGTAAAGTTTAGACACTTTTTGTAGTCAAATTTCTTATAACCACCACAAGAAAAGCTGAAACTTCGGCGCTTTCATTTCTTGCCATTTTTGCGGTGAGCGCAAAATATAGAACTCCTTCCACATCTTATGAGTTAGCTAGCTCAGCAATTGCATGTGCATGGGTCTCACACGCGTCCAATCCTCTTAACGTGGCACTTTCAAGTTGGGGTAAGACTTAATGCAGTTAATAGTTTTCTATAGACAGAGAGGAAGGATGCAGGTAACATATGTTAAATAAAAGCGGCAGCTTATCTTGTACTGTAGGCGTGTCCTTTGATTGATTTGGTATATTTTTAATACCAGGCTACTTGGACGGACCAACATGGCTGCATCGTTAGAGGTTTTGATCCTTATCAACACTTTATAGGATCTCTGCACCTTTTTTTTGGGTTTTGCAAATAAACTTTGGTGATACGTACACAAATTTGCACAGGTCTTATTGACTCTTATAGTATACAGTATAGGTCTGCAAGCTGTACGTGGACTTAGAGGTACTCCATTCTTGAAATTTTCCATGATAAAGATCGAGTTACTCCCTTTAAAGCGCTCAATGAACTTTAGACGCTGTACTTGCACGATACACTTTAGTTCTTTGGGTTAATAGAACCCTGTAATAACGAGTATGCAAATATTTTGGGAGAATACTCGGTAGAGAGCTTCTCGAAATGTCCACGATCCCAAATCGATGTCCATCTACACTCAGCAATACTCTCACGAACTGCTACTTTAAGCTCGATGTATGTGGGTCTTAGTTACGGAAGTGCGTGACTATTAGTAATATGCATCGTTCTACTGGAGACGCCATTAACTACAAATCGTTTTGAAAATGAGTTTACTTAGCTGTAGAGGTACTCATCGTATAGTAGGCCTCCATAGTCTGAAGAAATCGTCACATACTTGTGATAAACGAATTAGAAAATTATTAAAATGCATATATCAGAAATAGAGTTTACCAAAAAAAAAAAAATTATGTTAAGCTACGAAATTTTTGAACGATGTAATCAATCAGTTATGAATGCCTCCTTGAAGATAAGAAAAAGAGCAAGGCAAACTGAAATTAAAACTGAATTATTTCTTTTGTTGACTTTCAACTAACACAATACAATATTGTTTAGGTTTAATAAACTTTCCCCTATTAGTGGCTGGAAAGGTACCACTAATGTGTACGATACCTTTCTGCTTGCCACCGAGGGAAAGGGATATGTTGATTTTTTCAAAATGTTTGCAACATCCAGGGGAAAGGTACGTATTCTTTATCAGTATCAAATTCTCAATCAATTTAAGCTTGTCCCTCTGTCCGTGTGTGTAATGTCTGTACTAAGTAAACTTTCTCGTCATTGCAAAAGTAAAGCTCTCGGTTTCAAATGTGGCAGGAGCACTGCATGTTGTTGCGCGCAGGTTTCTATTGAAATCGTTTTAAAGGCACGCCCACAGTAGAACATAACCTGGGAT